TTATTATTATTATTATCAACATTATTATATTTCGATTTTCTTCTATGATCAAACTATCTACCAAGTCTGTAAGCAGACCTAAGTCAGGTAGTGGTGTTTTGTTATGGCTACATTTCATGATTTGTTTTTCTAACTCACATAATGTCACGAACATTTCATGGACATGGTTTTTCTTAGTGTGTAGTCTGTACTTATCAAGACAGTTCTTCTATTTCATTTAAACTCGGATTTCCTGCGATATTTTCAATGTGTTGTTGTATTCCTTTTTTATCATTCCAAGTGCACCTACTATGACTGGTACTATTCTTGGTTTCAATTTTCACATTTTTTTTATTTCTATTTTCAGGAATCTATACTTCGATATTTTTTCAAATTCTTTCTCAGCAATGTTACAGTCCGCTGAGCAAGCCATATCAATTAGTAGGCAAGTTTTTTTCTTTTCGTTTTTGACAATTATCTTCGGCCTATTTGCTTCAATGTTTCTGTCTGTTAAAAAGGTTACATCGTTATTTTGGGTAACTGTGTCAAGTTGGCGATCATACCATCTCTCAGTGGTTTCGATTTTGTGCTTCTTGCATATCTTCCAGTGCACACATGTCGCTACCTTATTATGTCGCTGGGTATATTCATTTTTTGCTAGTTCCGGACATTCTGAGACAATATGGTCGACAATTTCATCGTAATTTCGGACAGATCTTACATTTCGGGTTAGTTTCATCTTTGATTATGTGATAGGATCTGGTTGCGAGGCTTTGGTCCTGAGCTGCAATAATTAGTTTCAGCCCGGTGCTCCTCAGCCACTGATGTGTTTTCTATTTGTCCACATCAGCTAATTTCGATCTTCTTAGGTAATTGGCATGCAACGTTTTGTCCTCCCTTTTTTTTCTTTTTTTTTTTTTTGTAATTTCATTTGGCCAGGTTGTTTTCTTTCTGTTTTATTTGTTTGGTTTAGATGGTATTCGCTTTGTTTTTTTTTGTTGCTAGGTATATTAAACTCTTTCTTGAAGAGTACAGCTTCTTTGTTCATCTAGTGAACCTGGTGTTCTACTATTTGTAAAAGAGGGTCATTGGTTTTTCTGAGGTATGCTTCCAATCCGATTGTTGTAGTTTTTAGTGTTAGTTGGATTAGACGTCGGCCTCCTAAACCTCTTGGTTCGTACAGCATATCAACATCTGATTTCGGGTGGTGTAAACTCATTTGTGTAAGCACATTTTTGGTCTTGGCGTCCAAACTTTTAATGTCATTTAATTTATTATTATTATTATTATTATTATTATTAAGGTTCGGATAGCGGAATCGGAGAGCCGAGTTCGAATTCTTACGTGTAATATCCTGATACCCTTGGGAAAGGAATGAATCCATTTCTTCTCTATCCAACCTCCATAAATAAATGCGTAAATAGCAGGACAGACAAGGTTCCATAGCCTTAGGTTGGCAACCGCTCTAGGAGGAGGAAAAACTCTGAATTGAAAACCCACTAACTATGGGTAAATAGGGGAGCAGTCTTGGCTCTGTTGTCGTGGTTGTCAACCAGACTAGGAGAAGGACAACTCCGAAATTCAAATCCAGAGCCGGGGTCCCTAAGACAGTCCGAAATCATGTTCAGTTTTGTTTTGTCAATTCCTGAGACGACATTGGTGCCAAGCTGTATTGGATTCTACCTTTCCTCTGGACACCATCGTTGGCGTGGAAAGTGCAGATGTGCTGCATGGGCAACTGACGAGTTATCTTAAAAAAAAAAAAAAAGTTTGCGCCCTGGAGAGGATTTCATTCTTCGTCGCTAATCCATGGTCTCGCGAGACCGGTGGATGCTCTACCATATTATCATTATTATTATTATTATTTACACAACTCTAACTAGAGTTAACTGGCAGGTCGTCCAGAAGACCAAGAGTAAACATGATTACTCTCTTCTGTACGTTTTTAGGCATATTGTTGCCTTTAATCAAACTGTTGTTTAAATAGTTTCTATATATGTTTCTGTCTTCGCAAATAAAGCTACAATTATTTCTGCATCTCTTGCTAAATTCATTGACCGTATATACTCCCGTATCATGCGAATTTTGAAGACCGAATTTTGAAGCTAATTTTAAGGGGGTTGTATCATACACGAGGTATAAAATTAGCGTATGTACTGCTGGCCCTGACTAAGCCATTGACCAAACTATATCCATTAATGGTAGTCAAATTAGCTTCAAAATTAAGTCTTCAATTGTCGCATGATACACGAGTATATACGGTATATCTTCATCGTATTATTAATCGTTTTCACTAATTCTATATCTGTTTATCGATCCTGGGTATCAAGTGACAACAAATCTGTTTCTCGTTATCTTTTGGAATCTTGTCAATCCTGCTGTCTTGATGCTTCAGTTCATCCTCCGATTTCCAATTCTTGCGGTCTTTTCGCAAAGATCTTCCAAACTATTCCAAGCACACTGATAATGATGGGTAAAAGAGTTCATTTAATTCTCTACTCTTTTCTTTTCAGTAGTCTGGCAAAGTCCAGATATTTATCTAAAGTTTCACTCTTTTTCAAGTGGATGTACACAAGCGGTGTAATTGAAAGCGATACCCTTGGAAAATGTATATATTCATGTTCTTCCCCCAGTTATGGGTTAAATAGTATGACTTGTATATTGTAAAATCATTGTTATTCTCAAAGATTGTTAATGAAGTATTCAATCACCCAAAAGTAATTACCGTACTTCCCCGTGCATAATACGCCTTCATCCATAATACGCACACTTAAAATTGTGCTGAAAATGCTTCTACTCATATATAATGCGCACCCCTTGTTTGGTAATCAAACCCTGTAAATTGTACCTCTCCAATTTCATTACGGCTAGCGTTTCCCGCTCTTATTTAAAAAATGGTTTTGAATATAGAATAATATTATTCTAATTCAGTTTTATGCTAATTCTTATTTTATTTTACGGCAATTTTTAAATAATCTTTGTAGCTGTGCATAATACGCACCCCTGATTTTTCTTATTATTTTTTAGAAAAAAATGCGTATTATCCATGGGCAATTATGGTATTCTTAGAATTCAAAATTTACGTAACACACAAGAGTTGATAAGCCATAAAAAACAAACCGAACCAAAAATATCTCTTTCAATTTCACCCCACGCTCATCTGAAATAGCAATATCCACTGTGTGACAGATTTATTTAATTCTGTTTTAGGATGACTGGCGTTGGGCATAATTATCCAGGTTGTTCGTTTAAATTCCAAAGTCCCATATAATTTTATTTATATTTCTTAAGAAAATTTTGATTTATGAATATGCAGTGGCATGATCAAATCCCATGTGTTTTCAAAATTCCTATTAGATCACTCTTCCAACCCAGTCATGTGTATTTTTGTACTCTTTCTGAGCTAATTTCCTATAATATCTTGACAGTTTCATCTGTTTTCATACTATTATGTCTTTTCATCTTGATGATCATCCATTTATCTGCTAGTCAAGGGGATTTGATTTCTTTTCTCAGGTGTCCTCTGCGCATATATGCCCGTATCACATCGCCTTCAGTTCCTTTTTTTCTCTCTTGAAATTCTCGTGAGGTTCTTTTTCCTTGAATTTTTACTCTGGAGATTTGGAATCACAAAGCTACCCCCTTTTCAGTTCGGCTTCTGTAACCAATTTTCTATTTAGCTCTCACTTGTTTCGCCATCGTCCTTCTTCTTTTCGCATAAGAGCTGTCGGCTTCATCTCTAGACTATGTTTCTAGTTTCTTCATTCTGATTTCTCTATTTTCTTGTCCGGTTTAGGAAAGGCCCTAAGTATATACAATTAAATGTCGCCTTTCGTCAGTCTTTTTTAGTCGTTGTTTACAGAGATTTTTTTACTTTCTTTTCCTGTCATTCTGTTTAATCAAATCTATTTCAGGTTGCTTTTAGTATTTTGATGATAGTAGTACTTGGTAACAGAACGATTTATAATTATTTATTATCATTTCCTTTGATTTCTGTTGTTGAATCATTTCTTTCTGGTTAAAGGTTAGAAATAGCATCATATCATTTTTCACTGAAAACGTGTTTAAAATAACTAGAAATGCATACACATACCTTCGTAAGGTGCGAGCTGTACTTGTGAGAACATTTCTTTATGACAAGGGCTACTTCAACGAGTCTAGCAGAACCTTTCCCAGTCAAACCCAGGCCCCCAACAACAACAGGAATTATTGATGTCGACATATGCCACAATTTTGAGATTTCATCTTCAAGATCTTTGTGTTCTGTTTTTTGTGTGTGTGTTTTTGGGGGGTTTTTGTTTTGTCTTTTTTTTTTTGGGGGGTAAGTTTATTCAAAGATAAGTTACAGTCTGCAGGAACTGTCATGTTAATAAGAAAGCACGTTCTGTTTTTAAGTCATTTTTTAAAAATTATTTCACTCCAAGAAAGGTGATAATGGCCATTATGACGCAAGGGGTTATTGGAGTGTAAAAATATAAGAAGATTTTAGAAGGAACCGGGAACCCATTACTAAATATGATAAAAGGGATACACATATAACAATTGTAAATTTCCCAGTTCAGATATTGTCCCAGACTGTCATGTCGAGTTTTATATTCGGTCTATTCTATATTCTTTTATTATATTCGGTCTATTCTATATTCTTTTATTATATTCGGTCTATTCTATATTCTTTTATTATATTCGGCCTATTCTATATTCTTTTATTATATTCGGTCTATTCTATATTCTATTTTATATTCGGTCTATTCTATATTCTTTTATTATATTCGGTCTATTCTATATTCTATTTTATATTCGGTCTATTCTATATTCTTTTATTATATTCGGTCTATTCTATATTCTATTTTATATTCGGTCTATTCTATATTCTGTTTTATATTCGGTCTATTCTATATTCTAATTCTGCTTGTCCCGCTATTAGTTAGCACGACCGTTACGCCTTGTCAGTGCGTAATAAGTAATGGACTGCTCTGTTTTGATCGCGTGAAAAGACAGAAGGTGTATATCAGAGACGCTACTTGGTTTCAGTGAGAAAATGAAAGAAAGAAAGAAAGAAAGAAAGAAAGAAAGAAAAGAAAGAAAGAAAGAAAGAAAATTGTTTAACGTCTGTTTCAATGAAATGGAAAAAAGTTGTCAACTTCAAATCTTTTCATTTGTACCCTCTTATTTCTTAAAATAACGACAAGCATTCATATTTATGATTGTTATTGCAATATTTTGTTAAAGTTGTTAAGCTCAAATATTTAACAATGTGATAGGGGAATTTCTACAAATATTTTATTGTCGTAGAACTCACCATGAGCTTATTTAATCACTTGAGAAATAAGATTTATCAGAAAATTCAAACAGGTTAACCGTAAATTTTTCACGGGTCTTTCTAGTTATTATTATTATTATCATTATTATTATTATTGTTGTTGTTGTTGTTCTTGCTGTTGTTGTTATTCTTTTTGTTCTTGTTTTTATCCTTGTTGCTACCAATATACGATATTTTAAAACAAGTACTGGTATTAAAGACGGCATTCTTTAAAATTATTTCAACTGTGTCCTAAAATTCATCGCAAAATTCCAAAATTAAACTTTTTGGTATTTGATTCGATATATTTGGTTGGGAACCAGTGACGGATTTACATTTTGAAGGACCGGAAGTTTTAACAGATATCGGGGGGATTTGCAACAATAGATTTGAAGATCCACCTGCCAAAATGTAAGCTATGAATAGATTCTGGTTAGCTTAACGATCCTAAAGAGTTGGGGATCCGGGCGCTGATTGGCCAAGAAAATTTTGAAATTTGACCAATTACAGGACCTATTTTGAGGCCATCTTGAAATGGCTATTAGGATATATTCTGAGGCCAACATTAGCTAAAAATGCCTTTTAGATTCCTTGACATCGTAAATAAGACAAGTAAAAAAATATTGATGAATAACGATAAAATAGTATTTTATTATATCCCCAATCTTTTAACCGATATGTAAATTTACATCATTTTTTAAATACATATATTTATGTAAATTAATCACAGAATAAAACTATTTTAAATTAATATGAAAGTTTTCAATAGTCCTTTATTTTTACAATAAAGTTCACTCTTTACAAGTTCCAAGAGCAACTCGATGTAGAGGGTTACATGTAAAGGGTGGCAGTTTCAGGGGATATGAGAGAAAGATAACGGTTTACCCTAGACTTGAACAAGTTAAGATTGTAGTGATCAGGGAAGCATCCCCTTGGGAGTCGGTTCTACAAAGCAGCGGTTCATGGGGAGAAGTTGTCCGAGTGGAACTTACATCTCACTAATGGCATACAAAGGGAATGATGGTGTATGACATGGGGGGCATTATGGCATTAGCGGTCAAGGTTAGAACTGTTGGAACTAGGGAATGTAGTCCGTCTGAACACTAGCCATGGAAATAGCGATAAAGCAGCCAGAGGCTTACAACATTTCGTCTGTGGGAAAAGGACTGTAGGGTGGGAAATAATTCATCACCCACAAGGACGAATTTAAAGACTTATTCAAAACTAATTGAAACAAAATGAATCAGGAAATCTTCACAAAAGTTATCGAATTAATTGGCGATTCCTTATTTTAAAAGCGTTTTAGTAATGATTAAAACTAATCAAAAATATACTAACGAATCTAGAACCCTCCTTAACGCTTAAAACCGATTAACACACCTGTATTTAAAAGATATACTAAATAATATGTTAATCTCTAATCTCACATGGTGTTGTAACCTAGAAATGGTTACTGAATGAAGAATAACCAAAATGGTGGTTGGAAATGAAATGGTAATCTTTATAACATCAACAAAATAAATACTCGCCAGCGGAGTGGAGTAGGTAAACCACTGCTAGTGGTAGACTACTTAGACAGCATATTACCCCCACTTTACAATAATATACAACATATTTATGAGGATTGGGACATACCAATTAGAGTTCATATATACAGTATATAACACATAGTAAATCTCGTGTAATAGTAAATCTAATAATCAATCTCATTAGATTGATGAGTTTAACTTTTATTTTAACATTGAAAATAATAATTTTTAAAAAAAATGAAATGTTTCTTTTGAATTTTTATATTGAGGAAATGTTAAGAGCTTGTTAATAATAATCTAATTTCAAAGTCTAATGATCTTGAACAGAAAATCAACAGCTCCCACCAAGTGTTCAAAGAAATAGGACTCAAGATAAACATTTCCAAAAGAGAAACTATGATCTGGAATTGGAATGAAAACGCTGATGACACCTACTCTGAATCCTTCATAAAAATTCACGATGCGAAATTAGTCAATACTAAACACCTCGGTATCTACGGTGCAGTGGATAAAGACGTTGGGCAGATCCAGTGACTAGACCTAAAGAGTTGTGAGTTCAATACCAAGCCACAACAGTGCTGAGCCAAAAACTTTTTTTAAAAGTTAAAGGGAAATAGTTGACACATCCGGAATGTGCAACTAGAACAATATACCACGGTGAACGAAATAAAGGGTTCGGTTCCAATCACCTGAAGAAGGCCGGAGCGTACAACGACCAAAACGATGTGAATATGGCAATAAAGATGAGGATAACAGTTCGAATAATGTAAAAAATCATAATACCTCATGTCGGTGATATAGACAGCCCTCGGTATCTGTCTATAGTTCTGAAACGAGGTATTGTAATTATTTACACTATTTACATTGTTCAGACTGTTGCCCTCATTTTTGTCGCCATATTCACGAAGTTTCGGCCGTTGTACGCTCCGACCTTCTACACATGGCCTAGTGGATGAAAGCGTTGGTTACATCCAGTGACTTGACCCAAAGATTTGTGAGTTCAATACCTGGCTACTGTAGAGGTGAACAAATACTTGGAGATTTGAGTTAAAGGAGATCACTGAGACATCCGGGAGAGGAATGACACGTGGAACTAGAAGAATCTACCCCAATGGATGAAATAAATAGTTCAGTTCGAAATTCTAATCACCTGAATCGTACAACGGTTGAAACGTTGTGAATATGGTAACAAAGATGAGGGCAACATTCTGAACAATGTAAATAATTACAATACCTCGTTTCAGAACTATAGGCAGATACCGAGGGCTGTCTATATCGCCGAGATGAGGTATTATGATTATTTACATTATTTACATTATTCAAACTGTTATCCTCATCTTTATTGCCATATTCACATCGTTTTGGTCTTTGTACACTCCGGCCTTCTTCAGGTGATTGGAACCGAACCCTTTATGGCTGCCATATCTGGGTTGGAGCTGCCGAATTTTCACTTTCCAGGATTGCCAGTTTCAAAATCGTTTACGTAGACTTGTAGGCGATGAATTATTTTCCGCACAAACTCTTCCCCAAAGATGAAACCCTACTAGCCTCTCTATAATCTATCGCTATCTTCGTGGCAAATGTTACGACGAGCTACTCTGCCTAGATTCATCTGACCATACATTCACATCTAGGAGCCGATTTGCCACGTACACAGATTTAATACCCACTAATTCTCTCCTTATTCTATTGTTAAGGAGGAAGCTTCACTCAGACAATTTCTTCCCAAAAACGATTACATTGTGGAACGGACTCCCAAGTGGAAACTTCTCTGACTACTTAACCTCTTCAAATCTTGAATCAATCGTTATATATCTTAGATGTCCTTCTAATATGAATGTCTTATTAATTTCTTGTAAGCCCTTACAAATTCATTTTTATAAATGCCTACTTTAGGTGGGTCTTGGGTATTGTATAAGTATAATGATAATATAAAAACCAATAAATCATGAGTTACTAATAAAAACATTATTTATTTAACACAAAGATAACTAATTGAGTGGTTAATATTAATCACGGATGTTATAAACTGAAACTTTTTAAAAATGCATTTAATTGCTACATGTCACTCTACAGACTTATTCACATATATATATATATATATATATATATATATATATATATATATATATATATAATATCGCACATTGAGTGTTGGGGGTAATAAAATAGTGCTCGATGTAATATAACAGAGCTATAAATTATATATTAATATAATTTTTTATATTCAGCACCTGAAGATTGCGTTTTGCATTAAACTCCGAGTCATGCTACTGGTGAGGAAATATATATATATATATATATATATATATATATATATATATATATATATATACTGTGTATTTAGGTAGCAAATGTTCTTTGAGGCAAAACCTATTAAAACCAACAGAGATTTTGTGTTGATTAATTTTATTGATCGACTTTTTCAAATTAAGAATAATCCTTCTCAGACAAGGATGAAATTACCTCAGAAATTGTCCGGAGTTCATTTCGGAAGACAAGTGCTAAAAATATTGAACCATATTTCTCGTACTTTACTTCCAAAATTAAGTTCGAACAGTTTCTGACGGAATTTCCTTGGGGAAGTGAATCATTAATATTAATCGACAGATATTAATAACATTTACCTTAAAGAAAATTTACTGTCTAAATTCACATCACCCAAGTTAAGCAGCGTCGAACCTGGTCTGTACCTAGATGGGTACTGCTTAGTAACAAGCAGTACTGTAAGTAATATCAGAAATCATGTCATCGTAAAATGATTCAGGCATTAAGGGCCTCGCCACGGTCTTACCATCAGACTACTTGTATCGTATGCCGTACAAGCTGTTTGCAGTTATTACGAAACAATGCTGTAATTCACTAGGGGACAATGGCTACGGGATTAATGGGTTCCTTTATGAATTTGGTGAGGGTTTGTGACTTCAATCTCTGGGTCGGGCAGTGTGTACTTGGACTCAGTGGAAACGAGCGAGAAATAACCAAATAGTTCTAAATAGAAATACGATCTAGACAAGATATCCCTAAACATGGGCAGTGGAAGAGGAACAGTCTGCCCCAGTAGATTAAATAAAGGGTTCAGTTCAGAATTCCCTGTAGGTTACCCGGATCGATATACACCTGAGGAAGGCCGGAGTGTACAACGGCCGAAACGTTATGATAATAACAACAAAGATGGGGATAATAATGAATATAAAATATAAATATATATATATATATATATATATATATATATATATATATATATATATATGCAGTTTCATATATCCGGAATTTTATGCAACATTTTTTGTTGTTTTTCCTTTTATTTATATGCAGGCACGCATATCTTGTGTCTATGTTAAGAATAAAGTTTATATATATATGTGTGTGTGTTTGTGTGTGTGTGTGCATGTTTGTGTGTATGTGTGTATGCGTGTGTGAATGTGTGATTGAGGATGTACGTGTGTGTGGGTGTGTATGCGAACAAACTAAAATTGTCAGAAACTTATTTGATCGATGATCTGATTTTTCTTCTATTTTGCATAAATAGTTCTGTTAAAAGTGTATATATATATATATATATATATATATATATATTAATCGGCATCACTCCAAGCACCCATAAACACCCAAGGGTTTACCGGGTGTGGAGGAATTAGAAACAGAAGCATTAGTAATGAGTAGAAACAACAATCCGGAGGACAGTAGATATTGTTATAGTATTTAAATTTATTAAAGTTGGCTGCAAAGCATGGAGCCAGAAGCGAGTTCCACAAGCGAGAAGTCCAAGAAAAAAAAACTGTTAGCATATAAGTTCGGCTACATGTAGCGAGCTCAACTATAAATTGAGTAGATTTGGCCGGCAGTCTATTATTGCACTTAAATTATAGGTACCATAACGAAAAGTGATATTTATTTGTAATGTTAAATGGGGAAAGGACGGTCTTCATCTGTCTTAACATTAAACTTAGCTAGCCACAAAAACTGACCGAAACATACAACATTATTCCGAGCGCCAAAACAATACATTCTTACTTACCTTTCTTAATACATTTACCATAATACCTCATTGTCTCTATGAAAATCATAACTAGTCCCCATATGTACAATTTATTGGCTATTGTATAATAACGAAGACCTCGAACAATTACTATAAAAGTATTTATAAAAAAAACACAGAGAGGCAAACTTAATTAAAAAGTAACAGGGGATTATTAGGCTAAGAAGGATTCATAACAGATTAATTTGACTTAAAAAGGTGAGGATTTAATGTTCAGGGAAGAATCTTACAAAATGGGGAATGGGGAAAAGGACAGTCTTCTTCTGCTTTAATATTAAACTTCATTAGCCACAAACACTGACTCAAACATACCACAATATTCGTAACACCAAAACAACGCATTCTTACTTACCTTTCTTACTACATCCACCATAATACCTCATTGTCTCCATGGAAGTCCTAACTAGTCCTTATATATATAATCCATTGTCTGTGGAGGTGGGAAATAAAGCAATACCATAACGAAGAGCTCATCCGAACAATGACCATGAAGGTATTTATAAAAAGGCACAGGGAGGCAACCTTACAGCGGTGGGCAAGTAACTGAAGCCGAGCCGCTAGATCAGGACCAATAATATTGCTGATTCTTCTTTGGATCTTATCAAAGAGTTCCAGATAAATAGCAGGGGTACCGGACCATATATGACAGCGATATTCTAAGCATGGACGAATAGCAGACTTACAGATATGCAAGACAGATTTAAGAGAGAAAGCCTGTCTTGCCCAACACAGTCAACGACTTTCTTAGCAGCTAACCTATCAATGGATTCAATATAGTCTTTTCATTTCATGTCATCTGGGAACGTTAGCCCGAGAAGGCACAATGATTCACTTTCCTGGAGGATATATTTGAAGAAATAAATGTGTCGGATTAAAAATTCTTTAGAAAATATATATATATATATATATATATATATATATATATATATATATATATATATATATATAGTATAGCCAATCTCATTTAGTTTCTTTTTTTGTTTATGTTTTTATCACTTTTTGCGAAAAATTGCTCAAGCCCCGGCACCTAGTAATGACCCAAGTCCCCTCGCGAAGGAATGCTGCTGCCTGTATCCTGAAAAAATAAATGGAAAACCTTTTATGCCATCACGTTTCATTCCTTGAGCAATTTTACACATATTACTTTTCTCGGTATATATACTTTTATGTAGTATAGCTATCTGTTTCTGATCTTCATCAATGACATTGTCGATGTCATCAGTTCCCAATTAGGCATTTATGCAGATGACACAACCATTTATTACTCCTGTCTTAGTAGCAAGTCCGACAGACCCGACAAAGTAAACCTATCAACTTCTCTCGAAAAGGAACTCCAATCGGTGGTTAACTTGTAAATTTTAACGCCTCCAAAACTGCTTGTAGACAGATAGATACTAGCAGCTTGAGATAGATAGATAGATAGATAGATAGATAGATAGATAGATAGATAGATAGATAGATAGATAGATCAAAAGAGGCTACAGATAGATTGATAGATAGATACAAGCAGACTGAGATAGATAGATAGATAGATAGATAGATAGATAGATAGATAGATAGATAGATCAAAAGAGGCTACAGATAGATTGATAGATAGATACAAGCAGACTGAGATAGATAGATAGATAGATAGATAGATAGATAGATAGATAGATAGATAGATAGATCAAAAGATACAAGCAGACTGAGATAGATAGATAGATAGATAGATAGATAGATAGATAGATAGATAGATAGATAGATAGATAGATCAAGAGGCTACAGATAGATTGATCGATAGATACAAGCAGACTGAGATAGATAGATAGATAGATAGATAGATAGATAGATAGATAGATCAAAAGAGGCTACAGATAGATTGATCGATAGATAGATGAGATAGATAGATAGATAGATAGATAGATAGATAGATAGATAGATAGATAGATCAAAAGAGGCTACAGATAGATTGATAGATAGATACAAGCAGACTGAGATAGATAGATAGATAGATAGATAGATAGATAGATAGATAGATAGATAGATCAAAAAGATAGATTGCGATAGATACAAGCAGACTGAGATAGATAGATAGATAGATAGATAGATAGATAGATAGATAGATAGATAGATACAGATAGATTGATCGATAGATACAAGCAGACTAGATAGATAGATAGATAGATAGATAGATAGATAGATAGATCAAAAGAGGCTACAGATATTGATAGATAGATAGATGAGATAGATAGATAGATAGATAGATAGATAGATAGATAGATAGATAGATAGATAGATAGATAGATCAAAAGAGGCTACAGATAGATTGATAGATAGATACAAGCAGACTGAGATAGATAGATAGATAGATAGATAGATAGATAGATAGATAGATAGATAGATAGATCAAAAGAGGCTACAGATAGATTGATCGATAGATACAAGCAGACTGAGATAGATAGATAGATAGATAGATAGATAGATAGATAGATAGATAGATAGATAGATAGATAGATCAAAAAGAGGCTACAGATAAAAGATAGATACTAGACTGAGATAGATAGATAGATAGATAGATGATAGATAGATAGATAGACAAAAGAGGCTACAGATAGATTGATCGATAGATACAAGCAGACTGAGATAGATAGATAGATAGATAGATATAGATAGATAGATAGATAGATAGATCAAAAAGATAGATTGATCGATAGATACAAGCAGACTGAGATAGATAGATATAGATGATAGATAGATAGATAGATAGATAGATCAAAAGAGGCTACAGATAGATTGATCGATAGATACAAGCAGACTGAGATAGATAGATAGATAGATAGATAGATAGATAGATAGTAAGTACCTCGACGTAGTGTAATGGTTAGAAAGCTTGTCTTGCTAGATCAATTACGACTGAGTAGTGAGTTCGATCCTCACTGGGTAACCCATACTTTCGGCCTTGTGCCACATCTAAGCCAGGCTTAGAAAATCACTAGATAGATAGGCAGACAGGCAATTGTAAGAAATTAAATAAGTATGCATTCTAATAAGTTATCTTACGCTACAAACGCTTATTTTACGACATAATCTCCTTCCCAAACAATGCAATGAGTTGTCAGATTGGGCAAATTTTGAAAATTCGCTTCTACTAAATTTTGAACTTTCATCTTCTGGTAATATTTTTAAAAATAAGTTTGGTTTACTAATGAAAAGATTGGTTTCATCACCTGTAGCTTTTATCTTCTTAAAGAATCATGTTATTTCTTCTTTTTTTTTTATCATTTCACGCCATGTATGACGGTAACGATACTAGAACGCAGGTGGGAAGGGGGTTACAGGGAGTAAAATTGAAAGAGAATGAGAAGACTGACAATTAGGAGGGATTGAGGAAAGGACAAAAAGTTTCGGGTTTCAAGAAGACAGAAGTTGGCGATTGCACTTAAATTCATGAAGATTGCAGTTAACAGGGAATCAATAAATCGGAAGGGAGTTTCACAGGTGGGAAGTGCTCAAAAATAGAAACTGTTTGATTAGATGTGTTGTTTGCATCTAGTTCTTTCAAAAATAAAACGGTGCGGCCTAGTTGCCAATCTAGCTGCATGCTTAAATTCATGCAGGCGGGGCCCAGATAAAAAAAAAGTTCATCGGAGCAGTTGCTATGAAAATATTTATAGAAAAGACAGAGGGAGGCCACATCAGGTCGGTGAGAATGTGACTGAAGTTGAGATTCCTGGTCAGAATCGATTCTATTACAGACTCTCGGATTTTATCAAGAATCCCGAGGTTTGGTAAGAGTATCCACAGATGAATAGTAGATTTATAAATGTGCAAGATGGATTTCTGATGAGAAAGATTTTCTAGCACGACGCAGTGAACCATCTTATCTTGTAGTAGACGAAGCAATTGGTTCGATATAACTACTCCACATCATATCAGTGGAAAACATGTGGCCAAAGTGTTGCTCTCCTGAAGTTTAGCATCAGCCATGCTGATGGCAGGCAGAAAAGGTTCTATGTGATGATTAAATGAAAGCAATTTTGTTTTAGAGGTTTTCAAATTTACAAGCCATTCCTTGCCCCAGTTAACCACTGATCGGAGGTTCTTTTCAGCAGTAGTTGCCATGTTTACTTTGATATCCAAATGTTATCGTTGTCATTCTGTATTAGAAAATGGGAACATTCTTACACGCTGTGATAATTAAACATTGATTATTTTATGATTTCATGTAATGTTGTAAAACATCTCTTTATCTGCTTATATTGATTTTGTTATCTATTTAAAAATAAATACATATTTAAAAAAGATATAACAGGCTTAATCCTTCTTGTATAAAAAGAAATCCAACATTAAAAATAATCATGTATTTACTTTCTGGTTTGTGTTTTTCATTGTGTTTTGTATTCGTTTTTGCCTTGTCTAAACTAATCCGTTATTACAATAAACAAATCGTTGGAAAAATTCTTATTTTCACAAATTCTTTAAGATGGTAATTGATCCGAAAGTACGCTTTTTTCATTCCTTGTTTTTGACTTAACCATTATTATTGTAATTGATTCTTCACTATAAACGCATACCTTGTTTTAACGGATAAAAGCGGTCAAAATCGGTTTGATAATGCTGTTTGTTAGTAGTTACTGACGATAAGTCTATAGTTGGTAGTATCAACAATTATATTTTTTCTTAATAAAGATCACCTAATAAAAGTCCCAAAAAACCATTCAAGGTAGACAGTTAATGTATGGCGTTGAGTATAAAAAAGGGTAAGAAGTTAAGTTATTAGGGCGATGTGGGAAAGATAACAGTTAACTCTAGACTTCAAGATGTCAAGGCTTAATTATTAACATTTCAGAGTTGAATGTTCAGTTTGGAGACATCTGGAGCATAGTGTGGAAGTAGATTTTAGAAGGAACTGGAAGCCCAATCCTAAAGAGGAAACACTCAGCCGTTACTCCTGTTCGTTAGAAGCGGACGATAGGCGAAAGAAAAATTGATTCGTTTTCTACGGCTTATGAATCCTTTGCAGGTTATTTAAAGCCAGGGAAAATATTTTTAAATTGTAAGAATTTGGGGGGGGTTATAACAGTTTAATGATGCAAGTTTTACTAATTAAATCATAGCTGAGGGAAGAAGTGAATTCATGCCTTTAACCAAGCGTATTTGTGCGTAAGTGAATATAACGAACCCATCAGGAATTTGATCTCGGCTCTCCAATTAACAATTCCGAGTCATTATTCATTACACCACCCGCACATCCATGCTTACGGCACCTGTTATTACCTATCGAGGTACTGACCAGGGTCAACCTTGCTTAACTTTGGTGATCGTACCGGAACTAGTGTTTCAACATGATGTGACCGTAAGCCACGAAAGGAAGAGGGATAATACAGTGCTGTACACTATCCAATATTAGCCTGTAAAATACCTGGACACGAAATATACACTATTTTGTTCTACTCTTCCTCTCGGCAACATAGTTATAGAAAATTATGAATATGAAACAAGTTAAACAGACTGACATCTAAAAAAAGAAAAAAAAAGCTAGTAATAAGCTACACGTGTGGTTATATTGATGTAAAGAAAGTGGCGGTCCGCCAGCTAGCGGTCAGCTCACTAAACAGCGACTTGTATCCAGTGTTACCACAACTCTGTCCGTAGCTCGCGAGACTTACAAACTGAGCCGGATGCTCCATATTTTGTCCGTTGATTCCGATATTTGTTAAAGAGAGGCCCGTAACATTGATGTATCAGTGTACTTGTCACTTTCGCTAGAATTCTTTAATAATGAAAGAAATACGATAGCAATTTTCTGAAAGGCTAAATTTTTTGTTATTCTTAATCTGTATTTTTCCTAGATATAGAATTTACATTCGAATTATTAACAGATAAATACTAAGGGGAGACTACTCTCTAAAGTAGCCAAAATTTACTCTTTCCAAGGTATTCTAAGCAGTTTTTATGTCACACATTTTTGCCTTTTTTTTTTTTTACAGAAAAGGCCAGGGGGTACACTCGAGGTAGAGAGTTACGTCAAGAGGCAGTTTTTACAGAAGGGGAAGTTAACGCTTAACTCTAGACATGAACAGACATGATCAGGGAGCAATGGTTGGCGGGAAAACGTTGTTCCAGTGGAACTTACTTTTCACCGATTGAATACGGAGGATATGAGGGTGGTTTGCTACAATGTGGGTGGCATGTCAGGTTCTAGGGATAAAGGTTAGGCCAGGCGGAGCCAATGAATGAAGTTCGCCCGACCACTTTCCATGAAAGTAGCGATAGATCAGTAAGAGGATCCTCACATCAAGCCTGTGAGAGAGAGGTTGAAGGATGGAAAATAATTTGTCACCCACAAGTACACGGAGACGTTTTTGAACTCTATTGAGACTGAAAAGTGGGGACTGGGAAGCTCTCACCCAAATATGACAAGACTACTACATTTTCGGCCTGCTCTGGCTTTTCAGGCAAAAAATGGGCTACTCATCAGGTCTAAGGATTGCGTTTAGCATGAAACAGGCTGTCGCCTCTGGGTGTTGACTTCAATATATATATATATATATATATATATATATATATATATATATATTTTTTTTTTTTTTTTTTTTTGAAAGAGTAATTAATAAGGTTCTGTACTAATAAGTACATTGAGCTCTTTTTGTGGATCAGTTTTAATAGTTTATATTACTAGGACCACTTGGATTATATACCAACGGATTTGTTACCTTTTTATATATATATATATATATATATATATATATATATATATATATATATATTAGGAAAAACTGAAAAAAATTTTCCCGTTATGCTTTTCGTCTTTTAGGAATTTCTAAGCATGCGCTCGACAGGGAGGAGGCACTGAAATTTTTAACTTTCAAATTCAATTTTTTTAAGTATGGGTTTGGTTATATAATCCAGTCAATTTCATTCTCTCCCTTTATGATAAATATAAATACTTATCGATCTTCTTTCGAGCCATCGTAGAATCGGTTTGAAATCGGTTTGAATGGCGCCACTTCTTGGACATTGACTAAAACCCTAGAGTCTAAGCTTGATGGAAGCTACACTCAGATGCTGAGAGCTATACTTAACATCACTTGGAAACAACGTCCATATATATATATATATATATATATATATATATATATATATACTTATTGATCTTTCGAGCCGTTGTAGAGCCGGTTTTAATGCATGGTGTCACTTCTTGGACATTGACTAAAACCCTAGAGGATAAGCTTGATAGAAGCTACACTTGGAGCTATACTTAACATCTGGATACAACATCCAAATATATCACATAACTATAGACAACATTACTCAAATGCAGAATGCGCTTTGCAGTATATTACTGGTGAGCAAAACAAACTTCTCTGGACACCTAGCCATGGAGCAAGACGGGTTGGTTGACCAGTAACCACCTGCATTGACCGGCTATGTTATGACACAGAATGCATCTTTAATGACCTTCCAACCTTGATGCAGGACTGTGATGGTTGGTGTGATACACGCATGAATGTCCAAGCTAGCTTGAACAAATACTTCTTGATCTTTCGCGCCATTGTAGATCCGGCATCACTTGGAAACAACGTCCATATATATATATATATATATATAAATACTTATTGATATTTCAGCCGTTGTAGTGTTGGTGTTAGTGTATAGTGCCACTTCTTGGACATCGACTAAAACCCTAAAGGCTAAGCTTGATGGGACCTACACTCGGATTCTGGGAGCTATGTTTAACATCTCTTCGTGACAACGTCCAACTAAATCACAGCTCTATGGACCCATCCCCGACATTTCTGCAATCTAACGCTAACACAAAATGCACTTTGCGGGACACGGATGGCGAGCAAAACAAGAACTTGCGAGTTATCTATTGCTCTGGGAAACTAGCCATGACGCAAGATGTGTTGGTCGCCCAGCAACCACCTACATTGACCAGCTATGTTATGGCACAGGATGTCACCATAATAGCCTTCCGACCTTGATGCAAAATCATGATGGTTGGTAAAAGAGACTTATGAATATCCGAGTTCGCTCGACCGAAAACAATACTTGCTGAGTTTATCTTACTGTGTGGCACATTTTATAGAATAATAAAATATAGTCATAATATTTTTGTATTTGCTGCAAGTCAGTATTATAATAAAGGGTGTTTCATTAAGACGGATCAAAGTCAGCAGTAAATAAATCAGTGTTATTGGTGAAAATTTATTTATTTCTCTATTGGATCATGTTATTTAAGTCATGGCAATTATGTGTGAAAAATAATATCGCCCAAATGTTCGCCAAGGCTTCGGCGGCACACCTCCACTCGATAGTCAAAATTTTTGATGATGTCTCTGCATATTTGCTCCTCAATCTCACCAATATGTCTTATTATCTCATCCTTCAGCTGTTGAATTGTTGTTAATTTGTTGGCATAGAATTTACTTTTGGGATGACCCCAAAGGAAGAAATCTAAAGGCGATCATGATGGCCAATTGATTTCGTTGTTTCGAGCGATGAGGCAACCTGGGAAGTTCTCGTTCAAGCCATTGTTGCATTGGTTGTGTGTCATTTGGTAATAATTTTTCCATGGTTGGAAATGCCAAAGACTTAAGTTGTTAAATCTGAAAGAAAAAGAAAAATCATTAGACGCTTAAACTTAATTCACATTTAAAATAGTTAATTGTAACATCCTTTATAATTTAAATTATATAAACTAACTAGCAGGCTTCACCCTTTCGCTATGGCTTCGCAAATTAAGATGTATTCACTACTTGAAATCTATGAAACAAAAATTTTAAATGAACATTTCATTCATAAATTGGATTGTTATAGTTAATGTAATTTTTGCAAATAGATGCCAAGTTGTTGAAGGCCAATTAAATTGCAAATTACAAACACTTCTCTGTACTAAGACGATATTTATAAACAGAATCATTTTTGATATGAAAATCAAAACAATCCTCGAATAAAATAACAGTAATGAAGGACAGTTAATTAATGAAATAAAATATTCTTTTTAAAATCAATATGAAAATTAGTTAAAGCTGAAAGTGATGTTGCCTATAAGTAGATAATATATAATACAGAGATTGAGCTTTTAGTGTGTAAATCACTCTCTTGAGTGTTTTGTAACACATTATTTATCATCTCTCAGTTGTGTCTGTCTTTAGGCAGAGTGAGCTCAGGGGATTCTCTGTCAAAGAACAGAGGGGCAACTGAGAAAATTATACTGAGAGGTAACCAGCCCTGGGGAACAGCTGCCCGAGGCTGTACCCTCCCATTTCACCAGGGGAAGGGATCTGTGCTCGCACCGAGGCTAGCGCAACCGACAGTTGCGGAGGCTGAGGGCAATTTTTGTCCTTGTCCCGCGTGCACGCGCTCGGGCCCCCACCTAAAAAAGACCTTGTGTCACATTTCGTTCAAAATGGGGGAAGGAGTTAATACCGTGTAAATCACCCACTTGAGTGGTTTGTAACACATTATTTATCATCTCTCAGTTGCGTCTTTGTCTTTGGGCAGAATGCGCTCAAGAGCAACAGAGGCAACTCCGTCAAAGGACAGAGTCGCAACTGAAGAAAATTATACTGAGATAATAGCTTCCCGAGGCTGTGCCCTCTCATTGCACAGAGAGAGAGAGAGAGAGAGAGAGAGAGATCGATGCTCGCACCGAGGCCAGCGCAACCGACGGGCAATTTTTGTTCCTGATCCAGGTGTACGCACTTGGGTCCCCACCTTAAAAAAAGACTTTGTGACACAACTCGTCTTCGTGGGGAGACAGAGTAAACACCTAGTTCGTAAACTGTTCTCTTGAGTGGTATGCATATTCTGGAACTTACTGGTCACAAGGTTCCGTCCCTGTTCTGATAGTATCACAGCTATGACTAGCTTGGACTGGTTCTGACCAGTTTGACCAGCTTTGACCAGCTTGGACGAGCTATGACCAGCTAAGACCAGCGGCCCGAGTAAAGACACTCGGGCCCCTACGTTAAAAATTGACCTCGTGTCATAACCTGACTTAGTAGTGGGTCAAGTAAATCAACCGCTTTCTCGAGTGGTATACATATTCTAATACTTGCCGGGCGCAGTGATTCGTCCCTGCGCGGTAGTATCACAGCTACGACTAGCTTGGACCAGCTAAGACCAGCTATGACTAGTTCAGACCAGATCTGATCAGATTGGACAAGCTATGACCAGCTAAGACCAGCGGTCCGAATGAACACACTTGGGTCTCCACGTTAAAAACTGACCTTTTATAAAAACCTGACCCAGTGAGGGGTCAAGTAAATCACCGCTCTCTCGAGTAGTTTGTAACACATTATTTATCATCTCTTAGTTGTGTCACTGTCTTCGGACAGGGGCGACTCCGTCAAAGGAGATTAGCAACTGAGGAAAATTATACTGAATGCCCAGCCTGTGGAACAGCTGCCCGAGGCCGCGTTCTCTCATTGCACCACAGAGAGGGATCGGTGTTTGCACCGAGGCCAGCGCAACCGACGCGGGAGCTGCGGGAAATTTTTGTTCCTAGCCCGGGTGGACGCGCTCAGGTTTCCTCACATTAAACCGAGCTTGTGTCACAACCTGCCTTCGTGGGGGAGGGTGAATAAATACATATTTCTCTCTCGAGTAGTTCGTAGCACATTCTTTATCATCTCTCAGTTGCGTCCCTGTCTTTGAGCAGAGTGCTCTCAGGCGCGACTCC